TGCGACACCGCCGTGGGGACCAAGTCGTTCTTTGACATGATGTTCGAGAAGCCAAGGAAGGTGATGCTGTTCGGCGCCGCTTGCACGCACGTCACGGACCCCATCGCCAAGGCCGCCAAGCACTGGCACATCACGCAGGTCAGTGGCCGGGCGGGCGCTCTTCGCCCTGTTCTTGCAATTGTTATTATTGTTTGTGTGACCATTGTTATTATATGGTATGGTTTTTATTGTTTTGTTGTTGTTGTTGTTATTGTTATTGATATTATTATTATTATTATTATTATTATTATTATTATTATTATTATTATTATTATTATTATTATTATTATTGTTATTATTATTATTATTATTATTATCTATATTATTATTATTATTTTATTATTATTATTATATTATTATTATTATTACTATTATTGTTATTATTATTGTTAATATTATGATTATTATTATTGTTATTACAATTATTGTTATTATAATTGTTATTACAATTATTGCTATTATTATTGTTATTATCATTATTATCTTTATAACTTTAATTTTTATTATCATTATTATCTTTATAACTTTTATTGTTATTGTCATTATTATCTTTATAACTTTTATTGTTATTATTATTATTAACTTTATATTTGTTATTGTTATTGTTGTGACTATTATTATTATCATCATTATTATCATCATTATTAGCATTGTTATTACTATTATTATTATCATTATGATCATTACCTCATCACTATTGTTTTTGTTATCATTATTGTTATTGTTATTATCATTATCATTACTATTGTTATCATTAGCATCATCATTATCATTATTATTATTATTGCTGTTATCATCATCATCATTATTATCATTATTATGATAATGACTATTATCAATATTATCATCATTGTTATTATTAGCATCATTATTTACATAATCATCATAATCATTATTGTTATTATTGTTATCTTTGTAATTATTATTATTAGTAGTATTATCATATCATTATGATTATTTTGTTCATTATAATTATTGATATCATAATTGTTATTATCCTTATTATTATCATTATTATTATTATTATTATCATTATTGTTATTACAATTGTTATACTATTATTATCATTAAATAGTATGTTATTATTGCTATTTATTATTATTATTATTATGATGATTATTATTATTATTATTATTATTATTATTACTATTATTGTTATTATTATATCACCATTATCATTATTATTATTATCATCATCATTATTACTATTATCATCATTATTGTTATTATTATCATGATAATTATTGTTATTATCATCATGATAATTACTGTTATTATTATGATAATTATTGTTGTTATTATGATTGTTCTTCTTATCATTATTATTGTTATTATTATCCTTACTGTTATCATTACATAATTCTTAACCATGATTAGATATATCTCGTGTTTAGTTCTCTCCTGTGAAGAAGGGGAGGAAAAAGATAAATATTGGCAGATTCTGTTCCAGCTGAGATAAAGGATTCTGAAACGGTCTCATAAGGTATCTGATCCTCTTTCACTCGAAGATTCACGGAGGACAAAGGGATTGGTACCGCCCACGAATCCTTATTGATTTTTTCTACTATTAACTTATTTCGTTTATGACTGTGAGTGCTGTTGATTCTAGTTTAATGGATAAACGGACTGTCGTGTCCTTTATGTTGGCAATCTTTCGATATTAGGAATCACAAGAGGGAGTGAATCATGTTTAGGATATGATGAGAGTAGTTTTGATATCTTTCTAGTAATATTTTCATCTGAGGTGAGATAAATATTAATATAAATGCTGTTTTCTAATCAGAGTTCCGGAATGAAAATCTGAAAATTTCTTCGAAGCTGTCTTGTTTACCGTCAGATTCTCGTGACTGCATTGTGGTCGGGAAATTAAAGAAAGTTAGACCAACACGCAGACACACAAGCACATAGAGGCAGACTCAGACACACACACAGAGGTAAGCACACACATACATACACACACACACACACACACACACACACACACACACACACACACGACACACACACACACACACACACACACACACACACACACACACACACACACACACACACACACACACACGCACATGCTGACGGATGTGTCAAATATTAATGAAGATTTAAAATTCCTTAATTAAAAATCCAAGGATTTGAAAGTTAAGCTTCCTCTTCCCGCCGTCACTTGAGCTGCATATGACTCAGTCAGTCAAAAAATAAACCATTTCGTCTGCATAAAGAGCGAATTCAATCAGTTTTATGCATAACAGAGTCAATTGCTGCTATTGGAATCGAATCATTTAAGATTTCTATTTATTCGTCAATTACTTTTGATACCTCCCCCCCCCTTTTCAAGTCGTTCATAATACACAGACGTGAAGGAGAGTGTACATTCTCCCGCACCAGAAAACACTAGAAAAAAATTCTGTGAAGTTAAGAATTCTTGTATTACATTCTTTCTAGAATCTGGCTACCATTAGGT